TTTTCAATGAGGCAGTTTTTTCTCGGTTTTTTGCAACAAAATTTCAATGATGAAGAAAATTAAAGTGAATGTTGTTATGAAATTATGATTTAATCAAAAGCGATCGAAAAAAAAACTGTCGCACATTTCACTCCAGCTTCAGTGTTTTTTGTGTCATTTGTCATTTTAAGACATCACAGTCTTTTTCTTACATCTTTTCGCACTCACGCTTCAGTTTTATTTTTGTCTCTGTTACACCCATTTTCTCTCATTGGTCTCTTTGATTTTTTTCCTCTTTTCTTCTTTTTCACTCTTCTCTGTCGCTCTTTTCACCCAAAATCGATTGCGAAATACAGTAAGTCAAGCATGAGTTAAAGTGAACACGCGTTACATCATTCCGTACGTTAACCTTTCTGGTTTGGTCATTCATAACGAGAATTCATTCATTTGTCACCGTAGGAAAAAAAAAATGGTTATTTCAAACAATTTGAATCGAAATGTGATCCATATTTTGTCGTTTTGTCTATTCTTAAGTGTGATTTTTCAACAGAACGTATCAAAGCATAACGGCGCTTAATTCAAATTCTACTCATTCGTATTCAACGCCGTTGTGTTTTGAATTCAAAATTTGTCAAATCCAAGCAAATTTATCTCTTTGGTTGAATCAATGCAAATTTCTTCATGTCTTTTTGTTTGTTCGTTTCTATGAAATTTCAATCAAAACCGTAATATTGTTTCATATGCAAATGTTCAGTTGCGTTGCGCATTTTACAAAACCGCCGTCCATTATGTGAATTTATTTCATTTCCTTGCGGCTTACACTTTATTGACGCCGTATAAAATCGAAGAAAATTCTATAGCAAAATAATCCGACACATTGTTTTACACCGGTCGAGCATATGTAAATCGAACGACGTGTGAGAACCAAAACTAGTCTAGCTGGATGGCTTATTTGTTTGTTGCCAATCGTTTTCTGTGCGACCAAGCCCAAATGATCAAAAAGAGAGAAACACAATAAAGCACTGTATTCGTGATGTTATAACACTTGCCCAGTTTGAACGTACATGTTCCGCTGGTTTGAGTGGCATGCACTTACTCACAGTAATCCGATGGCAAAGATCGACACTAACATGACACACTCGGGTATTAAGAAATTGAAAGTGCATCTTGGTGCAAATACGAAAAGCACACACTTTGATTGAATAGATTTCTTTGTGCGGAAAAGGCGATTTAATGAATATCGTCCATTGAGCAATTGGATGTGGGAATAATTTGCAATGGAAAAAATATCTCTTCCCATAAAAAAGGGAATAGAATGATTTCCTTCTTATTTTGGTCGTAATCCTTGGCCCAAGAAGTCAGAACTTTACGTTGATTTTCAGGAATTTGAACAATATCGTGTATTTCGATGTTGAATCTGACATTAATTGACACCGGTCGTGTTCATACTTCTTTTGTTAATATCCAACGGTTATATTACGATAACTCACTCTGAATGCACCCGAAACAGTTTGGAAATAATCATTCTCACAAGAAAAATCCATTTTGCTCAACACTTGTCAAACATTTTTACTCAAAACGTCCAATAATTTGTTCTGTAATTCCATCGAAAATCCATTTCGATGAAAGCCACACAAGAGGAAAAAAAATTAATAAAATGCAAATTTATCGGTCTTTCTGAATAAAAAGTGCACATATCCACACACGATTATAATCAAGAAAGTAGACTCTCTGCAGCGCCGTTGATTAGTGACGGCCAAAATCCTAGGGGAATTTAACTCTTACGAGTTCAGCATGTTTTTTGCCAGTTTGCTTGATTCGCGGGAGTTCGACGCGTTCGTTGTACGTACTGACGCGCACGGTCACAAGTTTACACAAGTTTGTTTATGGTTTTGCGCGTTTTTCAAGTTGTTATTTGACAATTAAAACGCGTTTCAAGCTAAAAATCGGTTGTTTACGTGTATAAAGATTTTTCACATCCTTTCCAAAAGTTCAAAGATTTATATAATTATAAAATGGACAAAGGAAATATTTTTAAAGAGCTGGAGAAAGTGTTGAAGAAAAAGTTAATCCAGATATAATAAATGGAACGACTGATGTGTGCGCGTCGTCCAGCTACAAGTTTGCACACGAACTCGCGCGCGTTCGCGCATGTTGTTTTAATACGGAACTTGTCAACTGAGTGGAATCATGCAAGTTCTCTGGTGAATGTAACAATTTCGTGCGCGTTTATATCATTTTTTTACAAGTTTTCACGTAGTTAAATCCCCCTAGCCAAAATCACCTGTAAATAGCTGGAAGTGATTTCGACAAATTGCAAAATATTGCATAATAACACCGATTAGTACTGAATTTTGTCGTCATAGATCGACGGCGCTGCAGAATGACACAAATTTTCTATGAGATTACAAGCGTGTGCACTGTACATACCCATTCAATGTTCGCATGTCCGAAAGAACCATAAATATCCAAATGTGTTTGAATTATGGCCGAATGAACGTCTAAAACAGTGTAAATGTTCCGAATGGTTTCAGTTTGCTGATGTCTAAAATCTGCAAATGATTGAAGTTTGGTTTTTCAGTTGATTCATTGTATCAAATGTTGAACCAAAAATGAAATTAGACTGAAACTTTTGTTTGAAATTGGTGTGGCTTGATGATTACAGAATTCATAACTCGAGATGACCGCCGGCTGCTCATTGAAAATACGTTGAACAGTCGAATGGGTTTTTGTGTGCTTCTGTTTCGTGTAGCAAAAATCGTATATTTGCTATCTGTGTTTATCTTTCGATTAGAAAATCCATGAATGTGATTTTTGGTGTGTAGACCAACACGTTCGGTTGCATTGGACCAAAAGAAGTCGATAAATTCAAATGAAGGATATTTACTTAAATGTAACGATGTTGTGGTTTCGGAGAGTGTGGGCCAGTAGTAGCAAATGGGATTATGATTCATTGCTTTGAAATGCAGCCAGTTGTTCAGTCGGCTGGTTGCGTGGGTATGCGAACAATGTGCGCCGCACATAAAACCAAGTCGATGATCCAAAGCGAGAGAAATAGAAAATCGATTGCATTGATGCCGATAGCAGTGGCTAACGTTCTCACCGAGAGCGCGTTACAACCGAATTGATTGGAATAACAGCAGCAGTACTAGCAATAGTAACGGCGGCAGTGGCAAGAAAAATGGCAATTTTAAATCAATTTCATACGAAATGTTTACACATTGAACATTTCATGCGATTTATGAGCAGTGATTTGGAACTTTTCTTGTTCCAACGATTCCCAGTGGCCAAGTGCTTGCTCATGCTACAGCAGCACCAGCAGTCGCAGTCTGATACACGCTTTTGTTGTCCTCCACTGCTCGATTTGCGTTTGCAAATGATTCAATCGTATTTATCAATTTGCTGTATATTATTATTCAATATCGAAACGATTTCGAAAATCGAAATGCCGTTTGAATCTTTGGCAGAAAGAGAGCAAAAAAATTCATGCGTCTCACGAAAACCAGTAGTTTTTTCTAGATTAGATCACGTTCTACAATCCAATAACCAGAATGAGCACGTGTTTATCCATTGCTCGGCTGCTCTCTTTTGTTTCCAATCCAATAGAAAAGATAGATCCGAAAAGAACAACAACAACCGTGAGAAAAGACAACTCGCAGCATGAACATTTTGCGAATTGAGTTATTTATTAGAAAATGACTGAAAATGTGTAGAGAAATAATAAAAAAAAGAAAAAAGGAATTTTTTTATGACAAAAAGAAAGCACTAATAGAAGTAGACAAACAATTGAAAGTAAAGTTAAATATTTAAAAAAGAAACAATTTAAGAAAATTTTTCTATTAAAACGTAGAAAACAATTTCAAAAAATTGAAATGAATTTTTTTGAAAAACAATTAGGAAATGCAACAAATACACAACAACAAAAAATCAATCGAAATCGAATTCAGAAAAGAAATCAACCGCTCAAGATTCTAAAATCCGACAAAAATCCAATACGCTGGTGAACTTCACCACCTTTTGGTTCAATAGTAAGCAACTTTTTGACGTCATGTTCTTTATCCGCATTGAAAATGGATTTGCAATGGTGCAAATCGAGGTCAGTACATACTTTTACATACGAAAACACGTCGATAGACGAATCCATTGAAATTCAAATGCACTTCAGAGAGATGTTTTTGCCAAATCCAAAAGAATTCCATTGCATTGAATTGAATATGTGTGTGCGCTCTATCGCGCGATGTGTGTATTTTCCCGAGGAGAATTGCAAAAGAGCAACAGCATTTTGTGCATTGAATGTCAATGTGATTCCCTCGACGAAGCTCAGAACCGTTTTCATTGCTCGACGAGCATTCAATTTGAAAAGTAATGAGCAATCGACGCTTGATTTTGTTACTTTTCTATATTATATCGCATTTGCCAGGTCACACTTGTTGACAACGTTGGATTGTCGACGTTGCATACAATTGACTGCAACTAAATCGATTTCAATCGCTCGACTTCACACACGACATGTGGCAAAAGGGGATTTTCGCACATTTTTCCTAGCGTTTGGCTGCGCAGCGCACTAATGAGTGATGCCGCGTTTGATGTCACACACCATAAATCAATGAGAAAGTGACAGAGTTTCACCGACAGACACACACTTACAACACACAATTGACACTTATGAGCTGCTATGTTGACACATATTTTATAAAGTCAAGATTATTTCTGTGATAATCGCGGCTTTGGATTTGTCGCCCGTGTGAACAACAGGAGGGGATTGAACAATTGAAAGAAAACTGGTGAGAAAAGAATGAATTAGGAGTGAAACGGTAGGAATAATGGAATTTCATTAACATTTCCTCAATTAATCATTTTGCGAAAAGAATTGATCGGTTAGAAAGTTGCTTTCGGGCAGATGAAGCCGAGACAAGTTGATTATTTTTCGATTTTTACAAAAATATTTTGATTGATCGAAATCGATGCCATGTGAAAAGAAAAGAACGAAATTTACTCCAAAAGAAAATGTTAATGCTTACCTTATCGGCACCCTCCTCCAGTTCGATGATGCGAAATTCCAATAGTTCATTTTGTTCACGTAGCTCGTGTGATTCCTTTAAAATGATGGCTTCTTTACATTCCAGCTGATGTATTCGTTCGAGCAACTCATCGTGTTTGTGGTTTTCACGCGTCTGTGTGCCATTGGCAGTCGTCCAAATGCGTAGATAAAGAAATCGACCGAGAGGGAAAGAGAAAGGAAAAGAGAAAAAAGAGAAACAGAAAGCGATGGAATAAAATGCAATTCCGATTGAAATAAATAGAGTTCGTGTTTTCGATCCGGATACTGGAAATATATGAAAAATGCGCTCCAGGGCGGCAAAATTGTTTTGGCAAAATGGTAAAAAAAGCGCTGCAGCAAAGAGAAACATCGACATTTGTTTACATTTATCTGATTTTTGTGCGCTCGCTCTCTCTCTCTCTCTCTCTCTCTCTCTTTATCGCGAACGGTAAATACCGCGCGCTGTGAATGTGTGCACAGTGCGCTGATTTATTTTGGCAATGCATGAAATTTTTTCTGTTTGCACATCGTGCAATTTTTATTTTATCACTGCTTCCGTTTTTCGTTTGCTGCTGTTTAAAGAATCCTTACCATTTGCAGTACTTTTTCCAATTCACGTATTTGCTCCTCGGCCATCGAAATTTCACAGTTCAAAAATTGATTCTCCTCTTTGATCAGCTCGTATTCTTTTTGCAAACTTTCATGCTCCTTGAAATCCTTTAGCAGCTTTGCAATGGCAGAGAAAGCGAAATAAAGGAATTAATATTTTTGTAAGAGAAAAAATGTAATACTTCAGAAGGACATAGCAGCGAATGCAAGTAGAATTTGAAGCAAACAAAAAACTAGACAGATTTATAGGAAGAAAAATGGAGAAAATCGAAATAGCTTCGCAGCGAACCACGTATATTGGTACTAAACAGATTTATTAAACCTGCCAAATTATCTTTGCAACTGCGAGGCACAATCTTGAACTTGGCGACAGACCACAATGTATTCTTCCGCAAAAGGGAACAACGAAAAAGGACGTGACCTAAATGGCATGGTGGAGAAAAAGGTGCAACGAATTTTATGAACTGTCATGAAAAATGGCAACGATGTCATGACTAAATAATCCACAATACACATGACCTCGTAAACATTTCCAAAGCCAAAGACTCAATTTTAAGATAGTCTCATTTTTTGCAGCTTTTCACTTGACTTCTTCCTATTTAACACCCTATGTTTTGCTACCGTCATCACCTTCTCCCCTTCCAACTGAAAAATTCTTTCTTTTCCTCTTTTACAGACGAAAAATTCGATTTTCTCCTGCTTTTCTTCCGTTTTTTCTGCCTTCAATTCTTCACGAACACTGCTCGTCTTCTGTTTTAGACTAGAAACCAAAAACTCAAGTCAAGACTTACCGTTTGCCAAACATCCGGCGAATTTGACTGTGTGCCGGGCTGTGGGCTTAATGATGGTGGTGCTGATGACAATGCGGAATCATTGTCTGATCCAGACAAATCCTTTTCAAAGAGACAGAACAGATTTTGGAATGCAATCAAAATTTCCTTGGTCGCGCTCATTTTTCTTCGTGTGCAAGTGCATTTTGATAGTAAGAGGCTTACCTTTGATTTGCAGTACTGCAACTCGTTTTGAACGTTCATGATTCGTTCCCGTATCTCATGCGGCTGCAATGAGACAAGACAAGTGAGCAATTAGTTGACGGACAATTCTTTATACTCGAGGATTTTTAGCTTCAACTAAATTAAAATAAAATTCTTTTATTTCCTTTAATCCTTTAGGTTTTGTTTTATTTCATTCGAATGATTTCATTCACTACATGAATGTAAATTCGAAATGGATGGATTTTCATTAAAAAAAAAAAAACAAAGGGATATTGCAACTTTTTTGAGCAGAAAAAACATACATACATATATTTTATGGTCGTTGCAATACCCCTATGAAAAAAAAACAGTTGAGATGACGCGATTTCATTTTAATTATTATAACTCCAGTGAATCTGGTGTCATAGAGTTTACAAATGTTAAATGCGATCTCCGAAATGCCCGGGAGAAACAGAGAGAATGGTCGGTTTGTCGGATATTGTCGTCAAATCTAGGATCGGCATTGTACGCGCATATCCTGAGATCAAAGTCCATTAAATTTATGGCAAATACACAATTGGGTTAGCATGCAAACAATGGATGATAATTATCATCGCCACTGCATTTTTTCGATTTTCATCGCTCAAAAACCCCACAGACTTTTGGCAAAGAACACCTTTGTGCGTTGCGGTTTTCTCTGTCTCTCACATCGTCCTTTTTTCTTCTGCTTCGGCTTCACAACCGCATAAAAAGTGTAACATGCTTTGCACAAACTTGCGCAAAACTGTACAACGAAAATGGATAAATCTCCAACAGCACTTGAACTACAAACGACTGGATGCTTGAACTATGAATACGCAAACGAGATAGAGAGCGATGGTGAACGAGGTTTTTGCCAAGGGAAACGACGACTACCACTAAAACTATATAAAAGACACATAAAAGCTAACAAACTCCATTTTAAATGGATATGCATTTCGCTAACATAAATTAATTTCCATTGTCTTTTGCGCCATTTCATCCCGGAACGTGTCATCTGCACACTCATTTACTTTGCAAACGTGTTGAATCACTAAACAATGCCAACACACACATACAAAAACCACCAGCTAAATAGCGAGTGATGAGTTTATGCCTTCAACCCCCGTTTTTTTTTCTTCTGCGGATTGCAAAGTAAATGTTTTTAGTTTTTCATTCTGGATGCACTTTGGGTGGTTCTTGGTAGAGTTCACAGGTGAGCGCACGAAAGAAGACAGATACAATGTTTATTTTGGTTTTGAGGTTTGAAGCGGATAATTGAATCGATGAGAGAGTTGCAATGAGAATAAACATTGAACAGGCGAACAGGTTTCGGGCTCCGAAAAATGAAATTCATGAAAGGCTCTCGGAAATTTGTGCCTAGAACGTCAAAGCATTTGACATTTCAATGCTTTTAAGTCAGTAGAACGTCAATGCTGCTAATAACATTGACGTTTTAGGCAAAAGTAACATAGGCCATTTCAGAGAGCCTTTCCCGTTTGGAGTACATATCTTGGAGTTGACTCTTCAATTTTTCTTTCGCCGATTTGTTTTTTTTTTTTAATTAAACATTTTTCTTCATTTTTTTTTAATTTTATTCTCTTTTGAAATGTTTTTCACCATTAGTGACACAAATTTAGTGTGTCCCTGTAAATTTATTTATTTTCCATAATCCATAAAAACAAATTATCAAAGAAGAAAAATTTCAAACAAATTTTGTTCTAGCATAAAACGTGCCAAAAATTGAATATTGATGAAATCTTCCAAATTTCCCGAAGAATTTTGAACTATACAAAAATAATTTTGTTCATTAAAAATCGCCGAAAATTTAAATTAGTTCCATTTCCAAACACTGATTTTAACCTTTTTTAAAGAAAAAGACGGAGTCAAAAACCCAGTTTTAACTTTTCATTCTCATTGATTCATCTCCATAGCCAAAACTTAAAGCCATAGAAAAAGCCGAAACATTGTCAGTCTTTGTGATCGAAAAACTTATTTTCACTTTTTAGTTTCCATGCTGTCGTTCTAGTCATGCCTTGCACTTGAACGAAACACTCTTTTAATCTTTGTCGAGAGAAAAAAACTTTTCTGACTAATGAAAGTTTAATGAAACCTTTTGCATTTCCCCATACAACACACTAACGTTTTGGGAAATAAATTGGACACTTTTTTCGCCTAGGGGCATTTCACTCGCATTCGAATACATGATCATTCGTGCACGAATCCTGCATTCGCAAAAAACAGTATAAGTATTTGCATTCGCACCATGTATTCGTACTGCCGCGCGAGCATTCGCGCGACTCCGCATATGAAACGTATTGAAACACTCGTACATGTATTCGTCGCGAATGCGCTCAGTTGCGATGAAGTGTCAGACACAGTCAAACATGTGTAAAGATGTCAGACGTGTTTGAAAAATTACAACGTGCATTAGGTGAACCTCTACCAGAAATTTTACAATTAATTCTCACACATTCTGGATTTGATACAGAAAGCGCATTAGCTACGTTAAATACAAGCATTTGCGGTCGCAGGTGTCCGATTTTTTCCAAATTTGTTTCCGTTTGATTACAATTCTTGATAAACTGTGGCAACTGGATGATAAGCAATCATTTTAGTTGCAACGATTAACACAACAAATCAATATAGATCTGTCAAGTGCATTCGCATTCGCGCAGCAACATCCAGACGTATTTGCTAATGCGCCGTATAGATACATTGAATGGTTATTCGTACGAATGCGAATATTCGGCACGAATATCAGTATTTGCGAGTGTTTATATTCAAATGCATGGCAAAGTATTCGCGCATTCGTACGAATAGCAGTATTCGCATAGAGTGAAATCCCCCTAGTTTTTCGCACTGTGAATAAATTCGTTAGTTTGCAGGTGAAAAGTGTTAGCAAAACTTTTTTCAGACGAACGACGATGACGACAACGAACGAAAAGAAGAACTCGTTCAGAATGAGAATTGAAGAGTTATTGAACTAATTTCTTGTAGAGCACACACTTGTGGACGCTGCGAAAAAAGTGTTTGTGTGTAATTCAAAAAGTAATAAAACAAGTCTTAAAAACATTGCTCGCATTTAAAAGACCATTCGACGAAGGTAAATAAAAAGAGTTTTTCTATGTCTCCGCCTTTCCCCTTTCGCGGTGCGGTGACAATGATGATGTTAATATACATCAATTTATAATCGATGTCGTGGAATAGAAAACCCATTACTAGCAACGCACATCAAATTCACTTGACTTCGAACCGAACAACTAGAACGAGAATAAAATGTACATAAATTATCTGCACACAGCAAAAACACTAACCGATAAAGAGAAGAAAAACACACATTCTTAAGTGCTTTTAAGTACTATCAAAGTACTTGAGTTCATTCTTTTGTTTTTATGCCGGTTTTTTTTCTGTGCGAAGACTCTTCTGTTCGTGAAGCTCGGCGTTTATCAATACAGGTCTTAATTTAAGTGATTCTTATGCTTTTTAATGTGGTTTTGATTGGCCACTTTTTGCTCAATTCGACACCGAAACAGATGTTCACGAGATCATTTTTCGCTTGAAAGCACTCTTATATTCGCACAAAGTGCAATTAGAATGAGGTATTGAAATTACATTTTTCGAGCAATGTTGTTTTAACCATTTCCAATTGAGCATTTGGTGGGCTCTCAACCGAATAGAACATTTTTTTCAGTTTTTTTGTTTATTTTCAATCTTCTTTACCCTTTTTTTTAAATTTTTTTCCGTTTGGTTCCTTCCATTTACGAATTTCGTTCATTTTTTTGTCTTCTGTGGATTTTTTTTTTTCACTTCTTTCCATTTTTGCACTTTTGCATGTTGTTTTATTTTTCACATAGGAAACTCCGCTGCAACATTGTCATCGTTGCTAATCTTTTTGAAACGTAAATGCGATTTTGTAAAGCAAAAACTTAATGGCGGCCGCAAATTTGTTATGTTAAATCATTGTTTTTACGATTGTCCAACGCAAATCAACTTATTTTAAGCCGTTTATTCATTTGAATCGTTTGAAAGCACCAAAACAAGAAAGGAAGACACATGTAGGCTTAACTTTGCAGGCTTCACACTATTTCCCGCTGAATTTTAGTTTCTTATTTCAAAAGAAATAACAAGATGAGTCTGCCGTAAAATCGTTCTGGAGCGCGCAATAAATGTGTCTGACTGGTTTGAAGAGATGCAAACTTTGTTTACAGTTGTGCATGAACTTTGATGGTCAAATGGAGGTGAATTTTTAAATGATGAGCAATATGAATCATCATCATATGACATATTTCGTTTTAATGGAACCGACCATCAAAGATGTAATCCAATTTGTTTGCCATTTCGTTGTTTATTTTTGCCATTATTCAGCTACTGCAATCCCGTATGCATAATATAGAGATATTTTTGAACCCAATGCTAAGTTTTTGAAGAGAAATATAGCATAAATTCCCCCAGTTTATTTGCGTTTTTGATTCACTGAAAGCATGATTTCCCTCTTTCAACAGAACATCATCTTCATTTTGATTTCAATGTGTTATGAATTTGGCTCTTCTCACACAATTCTTTTGAACACACGTCTCTAAATTTCAGTGTGAGCTGGAACAACACTTCAAAGAGCTTGTTATGATATTAGAGAAGTGTATTTATATTTGAATGTCAAAAACTCTTACCATTGTGAATAAATCTTCTTTGCATGTCGTTTGTGTGGTGCTATCATGTGTAGCTATCGTTTGTTTCGTTTGATTTGTGGTTATTTCATTGTTAGTCGTTGTCGTCATCTTTGTGTTGGTCAAATTACTCTCGTTGCTAATTGTTGTGCTGTCGCATGATTCAGTTTCCTTTTTTCGCATCTGAAATAGAGAAAATTAAGTTAGTTATTTCATACCAGACATTTTAAGAATGTTTTTATTTATTTCTAAAGATTTTATATGATTATATTTATTCTTTTGATTACGTCACCAATTCATTCCTCAATTCTAAGAATAACATAAACTCCTTCGAACAAATGACAAGTGCTAATGAGATCGAAAAATTTCACACGAATCATCATTTGTAAATAATTATGTACAATTTTGCAATTGCATTTTTTTTGTAATTTAAATTTGTTCATGGTTGAAAGAATCTAGAGTTGAATTGTTTACAGTAGTTCAAACAGTAGAAAAAGGCAAATGCATAAATTATTCAATTGTCTTCAACTGAAGGTCAAATCTTAAAGAGTCAGAAATTGAAAAGTCTTCTTCATTCGAAATCCGGTTGCCATTCTCACGAATTGGAAGCCTCATTTAAACACGTTGGTTTTAAAGTCTAAATTCAGCGGTGCCAATTAGTGTGAGAATTTCAAGTGATACAAAATGTCATTGCGCCCAAAATGCCAAGTTGTCTTTCAGTTTGAATAATTTCAAGTGTTTTGCTTGCGATTTCGATGGACTAAGGGAATATTTCCGATTTATTTTGGAATTTTAATCAATATTTCGTAAGAATGTCACGATTCAAGAGGCTCAAAACCGATTTGGTTGGAGTAGAAGAAGAAATCCGAGACAGAATTTGAGAAAACGGGAGCATACAAAGAAGAATAAGAAGTAAAAACAGATGAGTTTGCAATATATTTCAAGTGTAGTAAATTTGACTCTTCAAACAAGTTCAACAATCGATACCTGTTTGAAAAAAAAACAATCAATACCACTTAAAGAGTCAACATCATAATTTTTTGCGAAAGAAGAAAAGTCATTGTGTCTTTCAAGCAAGATGAAGCTTCGAGAAAAAATGGATTTCAAGTGATTCGGAGAAACACTCGGGAAAACCACAAATGTTCATCAAAAATTCTTTGTTGATTGATGAATTTCATGTACTTTTTTAGTTTTAGTCAATTGAGAATTCATGAAAAAATTGATCATTTCGCAGAAAATTGTTGTTGTGAAGGCATTTGCTAATTTGATTTGATAATATGAAAAAATGAAAAGAGTTGCCGCTGCATAAACCGCATTAAAATGCGTTATTCCATCAACGATAATCGTTGATTTAATCAAAACGTTGCATGAAAGTTCGTGTTTGCGTGGTTTTTTTCATCACGTAATTCAAATGATTGCCTGCAAATATTAGTTCGAGCAAATGTTTTCCGCTTGAATTTTTCCCTTCACAATTCATGTCGTGCGCGTCATTTATCGAGATGCTATTTATCGTTCAATTTACCATTTCCAATCTAACGCATCGTTTCTTCGGCTGCATAATAATTTATTGTCTTTCAAAGGCAAATCGAATGTGTGCCATCATATCATAATGTCAATTCGGTTGTGCAGTTTGGCCCATTTACATAGTGAAACATTATGAATCAAAGCGAAGCGTTCACTTGCTTCGTTCGTTCATTTCACTCGCTCGATGCAGCTCGTCGGCACTTGATTTGTAACAAATGATTTACAATTGAGCCCATAAATACAAGTCTTGTGCCAGTAATTTATTCAATCGACGTGATTTATCGGAATCGTTTCTTTTTCTATATTTCTCTCATGCGCTCACTGTTACTCAACCCGAAAAGCATCCGAAGCATAATGACAAGCCACCGACTGCGATATATTTCCCATTCCGTTTTAATTATTCACCATTTCACAATCGTCAAATTGTTTGTGTGCCACTGATTACGATCACCAAATTGCAAATGCAATCGCGTAATCCGTGTACCATTGTGTGTAAATCAACGTTCAATCGGCAAATCTTCGCCCTCTGTCGACTTGAAAAGTAGCTCATTCACAAGCAGCACATCTTTTCAAGGAAATTAACGGCTTTCGCCAAATCATGCAACAAGTTACCGTGCAGCGTGCAACCATAGAATATTCACTCGCATATTCCGATGCAAAGAAAAAAAACAGTCGAACACACACAAAAGTCGAACATAAAAAGTCGGTCAAGTGGAATCGATTCATTACTTTGATTCTACTTACTGCATTCTGCTGTTGCTTTTTGCACGCAAACGGCCACCGATTTTCTTTTTGACTTATAGAGAGTTATTAATGGAGGAAAATTTACTTGGAACGCGAGTCCGATTCACCGTAAATGATGCGAACAAACATTTGGAAGCGATATCGTCCATTGGATTTTCATTTTTTTTTTTTTTTTGGAGGCTCAATTTGATTTCTGGATATTTTTTTAATTCGAGTGTGGGGGGGGGGCGAATTTAACGATACCAGATTCAATGGCTTAAACTGAACTATCTACAGATCATTTCTATTTTTCTGCTTTTATCATGAATGGGATCAGATAATCATTTGGCATGTTTTTCTTGTGTTTGTTCCTTCGTTCATTAGTTGCATCAGTATTTCACTAAGTGTATTTCTAATGTATTACTGTGTTATGATTGTCAACAAAAGTGACACTACGGTAAATATCACGAAATCTCCATTATTATTATTACTTGTACATATTAAATGAAATTTTATTGAAACTTCTATACATGAAACTTGAACCATTTACTTCATTGCTTAAAGTCATTCACGGGAAACGATGAAATGGAGTTTAGCTTTTTCTTAAAAATTAATCTTGAAATAAATACGAAACACCATTAAGACGGACTTTTTTTCAGTGAATATCAATTCCTCAATGTAATATCCACGCCCATAGTATTTATTTTCGGGCTTTAATGTAAAGTTTCTCATCCAATAAGTTCCCTGTATCAACGATGAAAGTTAAGTCCACAATAATTGCTAAAGGTTTCCTTTTTTTTCAAATTCATATCAATTTACCTTAGGAAGTGGACAAAACTTTCTCTCTCTTCCTGATATTGGCAAGTTAGTAGAATCAACCTGGATGAAATCCAAATACTAACTTAAATAAAAAGAATTACATTGGTAATCCCGAACTTTTCCGTACCGTTGGCCTGCGTTGTCCGTAGGTCCCAAGAGAAACGGCCAATATGTTTATACGCTGTCTATCCGCCGAAAATACACTACAATATATACACGCTTATTGGACGCCGAATTGAATATATATTCTAGTGTATATTCGGTGTATTCTTCAGCGTGAAACATATTGAATAAACGAATGCATTCATGGCCACCAGAGGGCGCCTGAATATGTTTCAATATGTTTCACGCCGAAGAATACGCCAAATATACACTAGAATATATATTCGATTCGGCGTTCAATAAGCGTGAATATATTGTAGTGCATTTTCGGCGGATAGACAGCGTATAAACATATTGGCCGTTTCTCTTGGGGTACTTTTGATTATTTTTTGTGAATTTTCTTGAAATTAAGGCAGTGAAAATATAATAATATAAATAAAGTGAAAAATCGGTCACTTTAACTAAAACTTCGACAATTTTGTATGAGAGGTACCCGTAAACCGATTCTTATTGGCTTTAAACTTTCTGAGGTTTCATTTTTTGGAGAAAAAATAAGATTCTGAAAGTTTCATGTTGATTGCATTTGCAGAAGTTTGGTTTTTGGCCCTCAATTTTTTCCAAGAAAATGTCGGCCGAAATTGAGGACAAAAAATCAAACTTCTGCAAATGCGATCAACATGAAACTTTCGGATTCTTATTTTTTCTCCAAAAAATGAAACCTCAGAAAGTTTGAAGCCAATCAGAATCGATTAACGAGTACCTCCCATACAAAATTGTCCAAAAATCGGTAATTTTAGTCAAAATTTTAAAAAAGTTGTATGGGAGGTACCCGTAAATCGATTCCGATTGGTTTCAAACTTTCAGAATCTTATTTTTTTCCCAAAAAATGAAATCTCAGAAAGTTTGGAGCCAATCAGAGTCGATTTACGGGTACCTTCCATACAAAAGTGTCAATTTTTTGAGGTTTTTCTTAGGGCAAGTACGCCAGGATCAAATCGAAAATGGCTCATCTTCGAACTTAAACTAAGTTTTTTGGATACAAAACTTTTGGCATTTCCAGATTTTGATTATCTCAATTATTTTTTGAGTTATCGTGTTTACAAACAGCTACGACGACGACAACGACGACAACGACGACGACGGCACACGAACGGAAAAGTGTCTCAAAAAGTGGTTTTCTACGCGTTTCATGAGTTTTTATGATGATCTAAGCTAATTTTGCGAAAAAAGTTTTCGGGACCAATTCCTATACTTTCCCTTGACACGTTGTGTACGGAAAAGTAAAATAATAAATTGCGAAATATTTAATTTTTTTGATTAGTAATTTAATAATAGAAATAAAGAAATAAATACAATACATATCTTCCCCATGTCTTAAAATAATCACAAATGGAGTTAATTGGAATTGATTTCCTGGGATTCGACACGATACAATTTTCCAGATTTTTAATAAAATGACATATCTGGAGCATTGTTATTCAATACCAATGAAAGACGGCTGATCATGATTATTTCACAATATGAAAAGAAAGGATGTCCCAATGAAATGAGCATGTCATTGGCATATTGTGACAAACAAAATCGATAATATAAATAAATATGTAGACATGTGATGTCTTTATTGATCGACTTGAATTCAGAGTTTGACTTATCCGCCAGATATATGCTATGGCATAAAAAAATATGCGCATATTTTTTGGTAAATTTGGATTTTGTGACTAACTTACCATGTGAATTCATATGGATATCACGAATTTGGGACAAAAAATCGTGGTATCCACATGAATTTACATGGTAAGTTAGTCACAAAATCCAAATGTACCAAAAAATATGCGCATATTTTTTTATGCCATAGCATATATCTGGCGGATAAGTCAAACTCTGCTTGAATTACTGTATGCTTCATATGTGTAAGGACTCTATAAAGCGTCGAAACTACAAGAAAAAAAATTCAACAGCACCATATAGGTCTTCAATTTCGAAGCTGAAACATATATTACTTTCGACAAGCGGGT